ATAAGGAAAACTTTGCATATCCGAGTTCAAATAGCTAGATTCGTATAGACGATGTTTTCGATCTATATCAAAAACCTTCTGCATGCACTCTTTTCAATCAATTTTTAAAAAAAAAAATTTATTTGGTATATTTTGACTTAGTGATATATTCATCCACCCACCCCCCCTCCCTCTAGATAAGTTGTCATTGTCTAATAAAAATAAATCTTACCAGCTAACACCCACCTACAACCTAACCTACACAAGACCGGGTCAGGGTAGTTTTTTTTTGGTAATTTTTCATGAGAATTTCTCTTTACACCTAGTAGTGGTGATTTTCACCACTGAAAACTCAAAAACATCAATCGGATATGCATATTCAAATGTACCTATCAACATGTTTTAGATATGCATATCTGAAGACACCCTTTTTTAATATGTTTTAATTCTTAAACGTTGGATGTAAAATTTTAGTGGTTGTTTCATAAATTCATATTTGTACAGGTGGTTTCGGAGTGCATTTCCGAAACTTCCTTTGTTTGTGTCATTTTTTTTTAAAACAACATCATTACATCTATCTTATAAACTGGAAAAAATTTTAGGATTCTTTCGAAATTATGAAACGAACATTAACAATACAGGCATAATGATTAGATTAGATGTTCATATATAGGGAAATATAATTTAGTACATAAGTTGTTCAGAAAGTAAGTAATATTAAAATATTACATCGGTAACAAAAAAAACAAAACATAACATAGGTTACTGCTACTGTGTATGCCTAATTCTTACCCCCCTGTGACCTCATATGCCTATTATACTGCATCGCACCGGATGCCTCTGTAACCATCCTCCTAATGAATGTAACCGCCTCGGGACCACCCCTCTCGATGATAATGGAATGCAATGTCTCCTGCCTAAGTAGGTGTATCCGCTGATACATCGGCAAGAGATCAGTGGCATGGTCATCCTCGGCCTGCTGGTTCTCCAAGAGCTACTCATGAGATGGCCTAGATGGTCGTCCAGGACCATCGGGTGTCATGATAGGGTGTGACACGTTAAAGAACCATGACACGTAACTCTCTACACAATGCCAACTCAGGTATGTCAGCATCATTTGATACTCATGTGGCACCAAATGATTCTCCCAATCCTGGAAGATGTCATCGAGATCCCGTCGGACAATGATGTCAGGAGCATCCTGAAAAGGAGATCTCGATATCTTCTACACATAGCCAAACGGTCAAATACACCGCTCCGGAAGATACCTGATTATAAGATTTGACCCACATGCTAGCCACCTAGAGTATAATGCGATGAGATCGAATGGAACAACATCCGTGTAATCCTCAAATTGTGTCCATTTGATGTCATCATGATTAGTACGATCAAGATACACTCGGTAAGGAGGCACTTTGTAATTCTTTATGTGGAGGACATACTTTGCAGCCCTTGACATGTCGTCAGTATAAATCGGATCTGGTTCGAAATCATGAACTCGTTGGAAGTGAGAGATGATCCAACTTTGAAATAGAAATCATAGAATATGTAAGTACAAATTATTTAAAAAAAACAAATTAAATGTAACAATTGAAATGAAAGGTATCGTGAGGAGTGTGCAAGAGCCAGTGAGTTGATTCGTTCTCTAGTTTAAAGCTTCATTCAGCTTCTGGTACATGTATACCAAAATGGAGTCCCCCCAGTTCCACTCACGAATTGTACTCAGATCCATAAAATACCAAAGATATGTCACATCTACGTAGTAGGCACTTTTGTCCACAAAGAAGGACGTGTCAACCAAAAATATGAAGTAACACCGTAAAGCACAATCTCGGTAGTACTGAACAAAAACCTCGTCACCCTCATCCTCGGCCTTTATTGCTGCAACCAGATGCTCTTCATATAGTTCCTTCAGGTAGGAGAACTTTGCATGTGACCCATTAGTGCTTTTTGCAGTCCTCGGGTGCCCTATATGGATCAGCACCCAGATACTCAATCATCCATTCAACTGCCTCAGCTCGTGGTACCTTGTGATGGTTAAGTAACCTCCCTCTGATAGATAGGTGGAGCAAGCAAGCAACGTCATCAAGTGTGATCGTCATCTCCCCAATGGGAAAGTGGAAAGATGACATCTCCTTGTGCCACCTCTCAGTAAATACACCCTGCATGTCGTGGCTTATAGTATTGTAACTAGTTCAGCATAGTCCGATAAGTCCTAATCCAACAACGGCCTCATGGAACCAAGAAGCTATGGGTATAAAAAATTCAAATATTTTTCGCGAGTGATTCACGGACTTAATGGGAAATTGTTCCTAAAACAAAAATAATAATAATCGTTAAATATATATTTTTGAGTAAACCTTTAAAATAAAAAAGTGCAACCAAAAATATATCTCTCCATCCCAAACATGTCGAGCGGCATGATCATTATAATAGACCAATAGGGAGGTGTCATAAGGCCCTCCTGGATAGCCGATATTCTCTGTGGGTACCTCAACATGATCGGGTACCTCAACATGCTTTGGTACCCCATCCCTCTCGGGTACCGCAAACTCCTCGGGAACTCCCCCTCATCAGGTATTTACTCATACGCACGAGACGTAGACGCCCGAGATAGATGACTCATCGGTACAGAAAAAGAACCTCTAGGCAGTTCCTCTTTTCGTATCTGACCCCGTCCTCGAGGCCTGATAACTTGTTGCTCGACTCTCTCTCGCCGACCAGAGGCAGTCTGGTTGGGCCTCCCTTGTCTCAAACGATTGTTAATATGATGGTTTTAAAAAAATCAACTCAGGATAAAATTCGCATGTGAACATCTAAAACTGGTCCAAGAGGATTTTGGATGTGCAGATCTAAAACCACCTACGAATAACCATTTTCAAGAAGCAGCTTCTTCTTGCCCTAAATCAACCAAATACCTTTTTTTATCACCCAAACATCAACTATTTAACTATTCTAACAGCAATCTACACAATGTCATTGATTCTAACTAACCTAATAAACTATTATAACATTGCATAGTGAATCAAATTAAAATGGAGAGAACTTCCACAAACTTGGAGCTTTGGAGATGAGTTGGAAAGACTTAAAAAAAAAGTAGTTGAAATTGGAAGATGAGTAAAAATGATTGAGTTCTTCAAGTTTGGATAGTAGAAATTAAGGGCTTGGAGTAGAAATGTGAAGTTTTTGTGCTTGAATAGAAATGTGTATGTTTTGTTCGTGGTTTTGAAAACAACTCAATGATTTCGCATGTGCATCTTCGAAATCATAAATTATAGGGTGAATTCGGAGATGCACATGCGAAGTCTCCCTTTTTTGACAAAAAAAAAATTACTTCGGATATGCACATGCGAACACACCTATTATTGTCAAATACGGTCCGTTCGGATATGCATATCCGAAGTCTGGGGGTATTTTGGTTTTTTTTTCAATCTTCACAACTCCACATAATTAGGCCACGGTCAATAAAAAATCTTTTAAACCTATCAAGACAGCCTACTAAATAAACATGAGTAACTTTATAATTATTATTATGTTGTATTTTTTACTTTGAATTAAAATATGAAAATAAAACTTAATTATCTTCAAGACTCATGAAAAAAAGTTTAAAAAAATATTTATGAGCAATGTCATAAATTATTTTCATAATTTCTCAAACAAATAATATCAAAAAACTTATGCTAATATGTAAATTCAAATGAGTCAATGAAAATAAATATTTAGTCTTATTAATCTTTTAATTTATTAGTCTATTTAATATCAGTTGAATTGCTTATTTACAAATGTTCAAATGAAATATACTTTTAAATAAATTAATAGTTTAATCATGTTTTCGAAAATGCTAGATATACACTTAAAAATAAATATATGATAGACTATAAGACAGAATTAAATTTTAAATTTTTTAACAAATTAGATTCAAACTTAACAAATCGGTTCATCATATTTTTACCCCTACTTTTATTAATTAAATTTCAGATAATACACTTTTTGCAAGTACACCTAACAATTCAACTTAATCATCGTCATAACTTCCTCACGTAACAAACATAACTAATTTCTAATCCCACACTGACTCCACAATAATAATTTTCTTGTAAATGTATATGTTAGTTGTATCATGCCATATAGTATTATATAATAATAATATAGCACAAATTACTAGTGCGTGACAATTTGACAAATATGAGTCATGGCACATACATAGAGTGGCATGTGAATTCCTCTTCTTCGTAAGAACAACCTACATATGAGTTTTTCAGATGGTGATTATTATAACTTTATTGAGTTTATGAGGGTTACAACTGGTTCATAGCATTGTTTAGAATTAAAAAAATTGTGTAAAATAAAGTTGTACGAGAAACCGCTTACGGATTTATTTTCTTGGGGGCATCTTTTTCTCTATTTAGGAGGAATAGTCTACAAGATTTTGGAAGTGAGTTTTAGAATGCTGGATTTGTATTTTTATATATTTGATCATACAACACACTAAAAATGGAATGAAGTGTGATTCAAGGAAAAATATTATTTTAAATAATAAATAGTTGTTTAGTTTAATTTTAGCATAGGGATGGGAAAAGATTATTTAAAACCTTAATTGGAATCCCTCCTAGATTAATTTGGCTTTCTTCCATAAAATCTCTTCCATTCCTTCCCTTAAAATAAAATTTCATCTCATCCTCCCATTTGAACCAACCAAACTTACTCTTATTAAACCAAATATATATCACCACATTTTAAATTTATATACTTGATTCCACAAATATAATCTGCAAAATATAGATTACCCAACAAATAGATTCTATAATTAAAAAATTACCTCTATACATTTTCAATAGCTATTCCAGTAACATGCAATTCACTTGTGATTTCTTTTTTTGTTTTCCAACCACCACAATCAAAAAGCCGAAACCCAATTGTGTGTCACAAATCAAAGATAAATTGCTAGTCTGAAAAAGATAAAACAGATCCCACGGGATAAAGACACTGTCGGAAAAATGTCGTGACCTTATTCACGTCTGTCAAAGCAATTGTCTAAGCTGCTCGTTTTCCTTACGCAGAGCCTCCATTTCTTTCACCAACTTAGCTTGATTTTCCAGAATTAAGTTCATCATAGTGGACATTTCTATCTGTTCAATAAGACAATTAATTAAAGAAATGAGAAATGCAAACGGTCTTCACTTATTCTAGATGCATACCTCGTGCAGATGAGACTGTCTTAATACTTCAAGATGGACGTTTCTCACATCCTCGTGTATAGATTTCTGAAAGGAACCTAGAGTTTCGTTCAGCGTCCGCTGAAAAAGCTGAAGAGTAAATGAAGATCCTTGTGCATCTGACTGAGATGCTTTCTGTTGTGGTATTGTTCCCTATCATCAAATTACATAAATCAATAACATTAGAAAATGAGACGAACAAAAATACATTTCAAAAGACTACCATAACAGGTATCAACAAGCATAGAGATGATATTATCATATCTAACTAAATTGTAAATATTAACATACATTTGTCAGGAGAGAGCCCGATTCTGTTGGGATAGATATTTCTGACTTCCATAGCAAGCTATTTAGAAGTTCTTCTCTGGTTTCTGCTCCTGATTTCTTAATCTTAGGTGAACCAACTGCAAGAGATGCACCATCTCCGAAGGCAGGTGCAGTGCTTATTCTTTCTGCATAACTAGAAATTCTTTTAGAAAAGGATTGCATTCTAGGAGAATCAGATATTTTTGGAGAGTCAATGTTTGCCTGTCCAATGCTGGCTTTTGTATTGATGGGAAAAGGCAAAGAAGTAGAGAACATGTGATCAGAAAACCCCAATGGAGTCTCCTGGCCTGTAGAAACATCTTTGGTGCGTAAATTGGAAAAATTTAGGCTTGAACTGGTATAGGGACTGATACCAGATGATGAGGATGTATCCTGCACTCCAGAATGCGTCAACCCTGCTGCCTGGCCACTGGAAGCTAACATCCCAAATCGAGATGGTGCATTTGCCTGACGTGGATAAATATATTTATCAGCTAACTTCTCCCCACCCCATGCCTCTGGAGGAGTGATGGAAGATTCTTCACTCTTCGTGGATGGAGGAGTTAACCCCGCAAATGGAAAGGAAGATTGAGTGATATCCTACAGCAAATTGATATTATAATAAGTAAAAGTATGATTAAATTATCCAGACACGTAAAAATATGAGTTTTGATTTGTAACCTAAACAGAGTTACTAATGGCGGCCGCTCCAGACACTATCCCGGGATTCTCTCCCAGTGTGGCAACCCTCCGCTACGGAGGAGCAGCGCGCGTCCCAGTTTTTGATAGCGGCTGGGAAAGCTGGGATAGCGGGTTGTGGGAGCGGAGCACTTCCCAGCCCGCTATCTGGGATTAATAACTCTTCCTAAATTATGTGTCTCGAATGTTCAATGTGAAAACTGAATAATATATTTCCAGTATGTATAATGTACAACCACTAATCTATTTATATAAATGACTAGTTACAATAGTAAAAACAACTACAGTAAGAATAAATTATTTACAATATTCAAAAATAGGAAATTATTTCATATATAAATTCCATTAGTATCAATGCTATAATTTTGGAAATCATGTCATCAGATTTGTTAGCATTTGATTTTGATGTTAAATAAATAAACTATGCACCCTTCTTGAAGGACGGATTTAAAAAATAGATGATACTATGAAGTATGTTTAAAATCAAATGTATGAATCAAATCCTCCCTGAAAATTCTAGGCCAAAGAAATTCAACCATTAAGATAACAACTTGTAGAAAGATTCCGTAACCGTCTCAACTGAAAAGAGGGACCTGTATTGGTGGTACAAATAAGATTTGGGGATAGTTAAACTGAAACACAAGTTACACAACTCATGCCAAAAGTTTGTAGGCACAAATGCATCCTTGGAATTGGACGACAAAGTTTAACAAGGATAAAAAAAGAAAGATAAATGGCCTTTCAAATTAAAGAACTCTAAATATACAGCTCTTTTCATCAAACAGGTTTCCCTCCTATATTAGGGTGTGTTTTTAACAATGTTTATGTAATTACACTGCAGAAAGGGAACTTTGGAATGTGAAACTTAATATTTCCAAGCATTTTTCATTTCCTAGAAAGAAAAATCCCCATATTTTGCTCGCCTTTACATCCCATGACTAGGGTAGGCATATTATTTTCCCATGGGAATGGGAGTTATTTGGGAACCTGACCAACCATTAACTTCTGCTGTAAGTTCCTTCTACCACATTTGTTCTCCCACACTTTTAGTGTGTTTTGATTAAATAATGCTTGAAAAATAGAAACATTAAATGCTATCCACCTTTTTTAAACTTATCCATGACTAACAGTCCTGGTCATAGTATCATGGAAATGTCATTCCGGAAAACGTAATATGCCTTGAAACCTGACAGTTTTCTAGTGCTACACATTAACACTGTTTAATTGACAGGCATGGTTGGCAAGATATAAAGATTTGTTGCATCTAATTGAAGGTTTATTCATAGATCAACATTTCACATGATGTTATATACTCGAAGTTAGGGAGACAATAACCTGCTTGGTAGTTGAGCCAGACTTCCAATCAGCTATTGCATGATCACTGCTTACGACTTCTGAATTTGGAAATCTTCGACTGGATGATAAAATATCCTTCTTTACCCCATTTCCATCCCACATTGAAGGTGTTATTGGTGTAACATCCACAAGAGGGGAGAATACATCTATTTCCTCCGTCAATTTATAACGCGGAGCATTCAACCTGGACAGTGTTCCACCTAGCCGTAAATTGTTTCGAAGTGGTGTTTCCTCTCCAATAGACACAGTTGGCAGGCTTGTTATAAATTCACTGCCGGATGTTGCAAGCAAAGATGTGTCAATGGAAGCACCCAGCCGACCAGAATTCCAAGTACCAGACACTGATGTAGATAGGGGAAAGCTAGATGAAGTTGCAGGAGGTAAAGGATCAGGCATAAGGATTGAATCTTCAACAGAATCTCCCACAAGAGCAGTCTCAGCAGTGCAATTCCTTTCATCGACAACAACTGGTTTTGATCTTTGCCAACATAAGCTTGTAACAGCCTGTTGCATGGTATAATAAGTTAGTAGAACTATAAATTGACAACCTGACATCAAGAGGTCAATGCTTTAACTTGAACACCATAAGAGAATATGAGACAGAAATTCTAAAATGGTTGAGTGATTTGCACTCAGCTGATTCTTAAAGTTATTTTTAAACAAAATTTTAGTAATTAGTTTCATGTCGAGGGTAGGAATCGAACTTTCGACCTCTTTGTCACTCCTCTCTTTAATAACTCCCTCCCCCAAACCACCAACCAAGCCACCCTTATTTCTCCTACAGAAGGTTTGAATGCAATAAATCATGTAGTTCAAGACAAAAAATTGTAAATGAATTAATGAAGCAAAAGAATAACCTCTGAACTACCATAAGCATGAAGAACACCAAAAGGTTGTGGTTTTCCACGGACATCATAGAAAGCCACACGTCCATTGCTAGTTCCGGCAGCCAGCATCCAACCATCATCTTTGAAGGCTACAGAAGAAAAAGGAGCTTCGCAAGAAATGGAAGATGTTGTTCTTCTAGATCCAGAGTCATAAATGTATAATTTCTTATCAAGGCCAACACTAGCAATGATCTGTTAATTGGAGAAAGAAATCAGAAAGCAAAATTATCTTGACCAAAGAAAGGGTAAAATGTTCACATCACAGCAACATGAAACATCCTCGCTACGTATATAAATCTGCAACAGGCAGTGGGAAAAAAAACCTTATCGTTGGATGGAGAGAAGCTAATGCCAGCAGTTGGTGCCGAATGCTGCTTCATCCATGAAACCTTGGTATTTTCCAAAAAATATGAGCTGTCAACTTTAAAATACCCATTTGGAATCTTGTTAAAAAAGAATAGTACTAAACTGCTTACTAATAGCATGATCGATTATAGTTTACAAACCCAAAAATGAGTTTCATCCCCAAATGACATGTTCGGTAAAACAATGGATGAGTGAGTGTGTTTGAACATAATTTTGGGTCTCAAACCACGACTCAAGTGAAAATGCAAAGGTTGTTTTTCAGTTAAGACAAACCGTTATTTGTAAACTATAATAAAGACAAGATAAAGACATGATTAACAATGCTGTATATGGGGAAGATGTTCAAGTGAAGTTATGTCTGTTACAATTTTGAAAGGAGAACACTGATTAATTGCTTCAACTATCAACCAAGTCAAAAATTGTAGTGCATTGCAAACCTTAGGGCTGCGTCCAGTTGTATCCCACAGATGTACTGTCCCATCATCGCCAGCTGTCACAAGAAGGTGACGACTAACCCGAGAATAATCAAGAACTCTCAACATCTGGTCTTACAGTTTCAAATATAGCAGATTAGTCCATATAAATACTTGCAAGGACATGCACCAAGCAGAAGGTTCAAGTTCAGAAAATGAGAAACACCTGTTGATTGGGATCTTTGAGTTCAGCTGTCCTTTGCCCAGAGGCAAGGTTATGAAGTATAAGGTCCCCGTTGAGGCTGATAGAAGCCAAATGCTCGTCTTTACAATTGTACATTACACCTGTGACAGTATTAGTATGACCCTTAAACCTTTTAATACAGCGCTTCCTTTGCAAATCCCATATCTTTACAACTTGATCACTTCCTCCAGAACACATATATCTGGATGCCTTGTTGCTGAAACTGATAGCCAGTATTGACTCCTGCCAATAAAATAAATCAGCATGAAGTAAAAGAACAAAAAGTGATTAATCATGATGTAATCATCAACTAGTAGTACCACTAACACCAAAGAGTGAGCATATATTTGCTGAAGATAAATGGAAAGAAAAAGAACATGCTTATGCCGGAAGATGACTCTAATTACCAATGTTGGCAAGATTGATCTTGCCTAAGACTGGGAAGGGGTAGGAAGATTCTACCAAATTGATTATGTAGGATCAACGGGATGGGGTAGCAAGATCGTAAAACAAAAGATAGTAGCAATGTGTTAGAAACTGAACTAGGATAGAAAGCAAGAGAGATAAGAGAGAGAATCATTCTCATTCAATAACAGAAAGTATTGGTTAGTTACAAATGAGGATAGGGTAAGCTTATATATCTCTTACCTAACTGTGCTGACTCAGCACAACAATGCTACAATTATACCCTTGCTATCTTACTATCACTTACTCTAATAGCTCTCCTAGAAACCTAGGTGTGCCCTGCACCAAAGTTGATTTATCAAGGACCTGTAACTTGCTCCTAAGCTGCAAAAACTTGAGGGGAGAGAGGCTTGGTGAGTAAGTCTGCATATTGATCAAAAGTAGGAATGTGCTTCACAACCAAGCTTTTATTTAGCACTTTCTCCCTTAGAAAAAAGATGTCAAGTTCCATATGCTTGGTGTAGAAATATATTTTATATTTCCTTGTATTTGACGAGAATTACATATCCTGTATTTATAGAATACATAAGGCAGGATTTGGAAGAAAAATCTGACCTAAGAATCAGGGGAATTAATTTCCCATGAATGCTAATTCTAATTACAGAAAGGACCAGGAAATAATAGCTAGTTAATTACATTAATTCTAATCTTTAATGAGCTGTACAAATAGAATCATTTTGATTCAAACAGAATCATTTTGATTATGTTATGATTATTCCACACTCCCCCTTAATCTGGATGGTAGATGTCTATCATACCCAGATTGGATCTGATATTCTCGTATATGTTCCTTGGAAGGGCTTTTGTTAGAATGTCTATAATTTGCTGGCATGATGGAATATGGTTAACACTTATAATTTCATGATCAATTTTCTCTTTGATGAAGTGTCGGTCTATCTCCACATGCTTTGTTCTATCATGTTGTACCGGGTTCTTCGCAATGCTAATAGCAGCCTTGTCATCACATAATATCTTCATGGGGTGATTGGTAGGAATTTTGATCTCATCTAGCATTCGCTTAAGCCAAATTCCTTCACAAATACCTTGTGACATAGCTCTGAATTCCGCTTCTGCGCTACTCCTAGCCACAACAGATTGTTTCTTGCTTCTCCAAGTTACCATATTACCCCATACAAATGTGCAGTAGCCTGTAGTCGATTTCCTGTCAGATAAACATCCTGCCCAATCAGAATCAGTGTAGACTTCAATACCTCTGTTTGAGTTCTTTTGAAAATAAAGTCCTCGGCCTGGAGTACCTTTCAGGTACTGGAGACTTCTGTTCACATTTCTCATGTCAGTTTCAGTTGGATTTGACATATAACAACTAGCCATGCTTACAGCAAAACCAATGTCTGGTCTGGTGTGAGTTAGATAGATTAATTTTCCGACTAGACTTTGATATCTATCTTTATTAGCGGGTACATTCTCATCTTCTCTCCTTTTTACTTGTTCTATGAGAGTATTGGCAACTTTGCATCCAAGCATACTTGTTTCTTGAAGTAAATCCAGAGTGTACTTCCTTTGAGAAACTGAAATCCCTGAGGGTTTATAGAATTGGGGTGAGTAATGGTTTCGGGTATGTTTAGACAATTGGCAAATTTCACACAGAAAATGTTCCTTGTTTTTATTGAATAAAGAGGGAAACATATTTTTCAAGTATATGAAATTTGGGTGGCCTAATCTATAGTGCCACATCATTACAGGATTATTATCACTTGAAACTGCAGCTGCAACATGATAATTATTCTTGAGTTTTTCTTCTGATTTTTTCACTTGAAAGAGGTAAAGTCCAGCACACTCTTCAGCATTGCCAATCGTCTTCCCCGACTCCAAAGTCTGAAATTCACACAAGTTAGGGAAGAATTTAGTAACACATTTCAAATCTCTTGTAATCTTGCTAATAGACAGCAAGTTACAATCCAGTTTAGGCACATACAAAACTGAGTCAAGTGTAATATTTGGTGAAATGATAATTGATCCTTTACCCATGACCTTAGAATGTGTACCATCAACTATTCGAACATTATAGTTATATGGACATGGAGAATAACTATTAAACAAAGTAAAATCTCCAGTCATGTGATCTGAAGCCCCTGAGTCAACAATCCATTATTTTGTTTTTTCCTTACTAGTGTTTAGAGCATGTAAGTAATTACCTCTTTGAGCCACTACGGCAGTACCACCTTTTTCTGCAGTTAACATGGTTTGCTGAAAGAGTTTTTGAAGAGCCTCCATTTGTTCTTTGCTAAAAAGAGATGAGTTAGAGTATCTAAACTTCTTGATTGTTAAATGTTGTGTTACCTCTGCCCTCCTTGCCTTTGAACATTTGGTCTCTGAAAGTTTTTCATGTATGATCCAACATGTTTCCTTTATGTGGCCTGGTCTCTTGCAGTGATCACACCAGGGGCGGGTTTTCTTTTGTGGTGGCCGAAGCTGATTCCCTCTTGCTGCCATTGCAGAGCTCTCGCTGTACGGAACTGAGTTGGGTGTTCTCAACATGATTTTCCTCCTGCTTTCTTCCCTTCTCACTTCTGAAAAGGCTTCTCGAATTTTGAGAAGTGGTTTGGTTCCAAGGATCCTTCCACAAACTTCATCTAGGTCCTTGTTTAGCCTCAATAGGAATTTGTAAATCCTATCTTTTTCCACCAATTCCTTATACTTCTTTTGATCTTCTGTACAACACAATGTAACCTCTTCATATATGTCGAGTTGTTGTTAGTGTTTGTTAAGTATATTAAAATACTCAGTAACAAAAGATTCTCCCTGTCGAAGGTCATGAAGAATGCTTTTAATCTCAAATACGACAGATGTATTGTCAACATTTGAGTATGTTTCCTTCACTGCATCCCATATCTCTTTTGCACTGTCAGAGAACATGAAATTTTCACCAATTTAATTTTGTCATGGTATTGAGCAGCCATGACATTACTTAGTTGTTCTCAAGTTTCCATTTCTGAAAGTTTTTGTCTCCTTTTTCGGGACATTGAGAATCTCTTGTGGTGTAGCCTTCCCTTCCTTTTCCTTCGAGGAAGATCTTACTGACCTTACCCATTGGGTATAGTTTTGGTCATTTAATTTATGGCCTGTGATGAGGTGAGTGAGCTCTTCGTGTGAACTGGTCGGAAATGATCCAGTCTCCACTTTAAGCGATTCATCAAATTTGGGATCCTCCATAGTTTGGCGGCGCTAGGTTAGAGATGGTTCAGATCGTGCTCTAATACCATGTAGAAATATATTTTATATTTCCTTGTATTTGATGAAAATTACATATACTGTATTTATAGAATACATAAGGCAGGATTTGGAAGAAATATCTGACCTAAGAATCAGAGGAATTAATTTCCCATGAATGCTAATTCTAATTACAGAAAGGACCAGGAAATAATAGCTAGCTAATTACATTAATCCTAATCTTTAATGAGCTGTACAAACAGAATCATTTTGATTCTGTTATGATTATTCCACACTTGGTTTTGGTGTGTAGAATAGGATTATGAGACAGGGGTACTGTACTGAGATTATCACACAGCAGAACTGGAGTAGTGAAAGGCATTTTCAGTTCTGTAAGCAAAGACTGAATCCATAGCACTTCAGCAGCAGAATTGGCAAGACTTCTGTACTCTGCCTCTGTGCTGGACCTGGCTACAAGAGTCTGTTTCTTTGACCACCAGGAAACCAGATTAGGACCTAGAAATATGCAGGATCCAGAAGTGATTTTCTGTCATCAGGGTCAGCATCAGAAAAAGTTGTAATAGAAGAGGGACCTGAGTGTTGGCCCCCTGAAGAAGAATCCCATGGTAAAAAGACCCTTTAAGGTATCTCAAGATCCTCTTTACAGCTGACCAGTGACTTTCTAATGGATTTGACAAGAACTGGCGAGCCTTATTCACTACATAGCTGATTTCAGGCCTAGTTATGATGGCATACTGCAGTGCCCCAACTATAGACCTGTAGTAAGTAGGATCCTGCAAGTTGACTGGAAATCATATGAGCAGGAACACCATTGGCCTCACTCAGTTTGGCCTTTAGCTAAAAGGTCTTTGATGTACTTTGTTTGGGACCAAAACAGAGATCCATCCTTGAAGTGAGATACCTCAACTCCCAGAGAATACTCAAGTTTTGCCTAATTGTTTGAGAGCAAACTGAGCATGTAACTTGATGATCAGCTCCTAAATATGTGAGACAGAATTTCCTGTGACAATAATGTCATCTACATATACTAACATAATTATAATATATGTAGGAGTAACAAGAGTAAACAAGGAGGGATCACACCTGCTAGAAGTGAACCCAAAGCTCCTAAGAGCTGATGTAAGTTTCTCAAACCAGGCTCTTGGGGCCTGCTTAAGGCCATAGATGGCTTTATTCAGTCTGCATATTGATGAGCCAGAAGTGTTGTCCTCAAAGCCAGAAGTGTTGTCCTCAAAGCCAGGAGGCTGCTCCATATACACTTCTTCTTGGAGTGTGCCATTAAGAAAGGCATTACTCACATCCAATTGTGTGATATGGCATTTCTTGGAAACAACTATAGTAAGCACAACTCTGACAGTCAATGGTTTGACAACAGGAGAAAATGTTTCTTTAAAATCAAGACCTTCCTGTTGATGAAACCCTTTGGCAACCAACCGAGCTTTGTACTTATTTAGGGATCCATCAGGATTTTGTTTCACCTTAAACACCCACTTGCACCCTATTGCCTGCCTATTTGAAGGTAAGGGAACAAGTGTCCAAGTATTGTTGTTAATGAGGGCCTGATACTCAGCAGTCATAGCTGCCATCCACTTAGGATCTTTCAATGCAGATTTGTAGGAAGCTGGTTGCAGTTCGGTGAGAAGAGTTGGATTTTGTCTAGGTTTCATTATGCCACACTTTCTTCTGGTGGTCATAGGATGTATATTAAGTAAGCCTGTGAGAAATACCCTTAGTAAGAAAAACATTGGTGAGAGACTGGAACTCTCCTCCACCATCAGTTTGAACTGACCTAATGACAGTTCTAAATTGAACCTCAATGGCCGTGATAAAGTGTGTGACTGTGAGCAGAACATCAGATTTCAATTTCAGAGGAAACACCCAAGTATACTTAGAAAAAGCATCAACACGAGTCGACAAGTATTTATAGCCACAGGTTGAAGTCATAGGAGTTGGGCCCCATACATCCAAAAACAGTAAATCAAAAGCTTTGGTGTAAGAAGTGTGAGTGTGTACTAGGCAGCCTATGCACTTTGCCACGACAGCAGGGGACACAAAAGTTCAATGGTGACTTTTGTGGCACTGGGACATTGCACAACTGCAGAGTTGTTTTAAGCATTTCATATTGGGGATGCCCAAGCCTGTTATGCCACAAAGTGTAAGGACACACACTGACAGAATTGGCTGCAGAGGAAGCACTCCTTGTGATGCTATTTATTGAAGCCATAAGTAGGAGAGAGCTGAAAGAGTAAAGCCCATCTTTATTAACAACACCTAGTAAAACCACCTCAGAGTTGGCCTGTGTTTTGACAAAGCACTTGTCAGCATGAAACTCAAAGTACACACAATTGACTTTAGCAAACTGGCTAACAAACATTAAGTTCTTAGTGATAGCTGGCACAAGTAGCAGATTATTCAGTGTGAATGTGGTGTGTGTGTGATGTGGTGAAGTGAACTTAGCTGAACCTATAGAGGTGATAGGTAAACCTTGTACATTGCCAAGAAAAACTTGATTCGTACCAGGTAGAGTCATGCTCTCAGACAAGTAATCAGCATTATTTGTCACGTGATGAGTAGCTTCTGAATCTAGATACCAGGCCTGTGAGAGTTGTGCAGTAGCAGCAGTAGTGGCATTTGTGCCTGTACCGGTGAAATAGGCTTGTGGCTGATAAGCAGGTTTTGCAGGAAATCCAGGAGGAGGACCCCTCTGCAAGTCACTGATTGGGATTAGGAGCTGTCCACTGATTAGTAGCTGGTGGAGCAGTCATAGCAGGCACGTGTGCACTCTGAGTCCACTGATTCCAAGGCTGATACTGAGGGCGCTGCATTTGAGGTCGTTGCCACATGTTAGGCATCATGGAGGTATGCCTATGATAACACACACTAGCATCATGACCTGGCTTAAAGCAAATCTGGCATTGTACCTTGTATCTCCCACCACGAAAACCACCACGAGACTCACCATAACCAGTCATAGCACCATAGGGAGTCTGTGCAGCAGTATCTTGAGGGACTTGACTAGCATCAACAGGTGCATTAGGCGTGGCCTGAGCAACATTAACAGAAACTGGTTCAGCCAGCACACTCTTCTTAGCCTTTTCCAGTTTCGCTTCGTGAGAGAGAAGCATAGATTCTGCTTCAATAATAGGACAGAGAAGTGGACGATACTGAATGATCGAAGCTATGGCATTGTACTCCTCTGGTAAACCATCAAGAATTGCTTCAATCTGATCGCGATGCGAAATCGGATCATCAATTGATTCAAGAACATCAACAATGCGCTGAATTCGAGCAAGATACTCTGCAGCCGTCTTCTCACCCTTCGTAATCATCTTCAATTTCGATCGCACTTGTCACGACTTCGCGTTTGTGTGCGCAAACATATACTTGTGAATCTCATCCCAAATCTAATGAGAGTGAACGCAGCGAACAACACGAGGAATAACAGAATCAGATAGCGTCGTAAGGAGCCAGGTGAAGAGCAACGAATCATGTTGCTCCCAAGTAACGTACGCGGGATTCTCAATGTCGTTTGCACGATCAGCTTCAATGAGATACCGTTGAGGAATCGTCGGATTCACCAGAAGACGATGCAGTTTTTGCGTTCTGATGATCCCTTCAACTTGTTGTTTCCAAGAACGAAAGTTGTTTTCATCAAGCTTCAACGTGATCTGTTGAGCGAAGGTTTTGAACGCGTTCTTCACATTGAATGCCGCCGTTACCAGCGTTGCGACGGGCGAGGTGTCAAAATCATCATCGGAAGCCATGGCTGAGGATCGAGTTTAAGCTCTAGATACCTTGTTAGAAACTGAACTAGGTTAGAAAGCAAGAGAGAGAAGAGAGAGAAGAGAGAGAATCATTCTCATTTAATAACAGAAAGTATTGGTTAGCTACAAATGAGGATAGGGTAAGCTTATATATCTCTTACCTAACAATTATACCTTTGCTATCTTACTATCACTTACTCTAATGCAATGATGGTAAGATCCTACTGAAATGAAAAACTAATACTGTAACGGAACATACAAAACATGAAATTTTCTAAAAGTTTAAACATTAAACTACCGAGAAGGGAGACTAATAAAAGCTTAAGATAACACAACCAAGTCCACCAAAGAAAATACTTAAAGCCTAGATCCAGATCAAATCTCTAAGGCACCAACCAACCATATCATCTTACATAACATTAACATTTTCTACTTCATTCATCTCATCATTATCTCCTCAATCGTGTCCATCATCATCATCATCATCATCTCCCTCTTCATAGTTGCTTCTTCAACACTAGGAACATCTGATTCATCTACAGGTACAACTGATGTAGCACTGCTACCAGCTTCTTCAATATGAATCAAATCATCATCGTTCGGATCAACCATAGCCACACACACAGCCCACACCTGCATTTTCTTCCTCATCCGCATATCAATCACCATATCACAATTAAATCTTCAATGTAGATCTTGGGGTCCCCTTTCAGCCTTCATGCCCAACCTTCATTTTCCATCACTTAAATAAGAATGCACTACCATACGTTTGTGATTTTCGGTAGAGATTTGGCTTGATTTCACCACAACAGGAAATTGTGAGTGGGATCTAAATTGCAAAACACTCGAAACATTGTAAACTTGTATGATTTAACAAGTGACTCACAATTTTGACTACTACTACTTAAGCTTTGAGTATTATCTTTTGTGAGCCTGGTTTTGTTATGTTTAAACTTTAGAAAACCTTTGTTTTTTATGTGATTTTGGATTTAAGACTTGTTACTTTGTTTTGTATGTTACCTAAGAAACTTGTGATCATGACATACTTTGTATGCACTATTAGTATATTTTCATTTCAGTAGGATCTTATAATCCTTGTTATGATCTAACGTTTCAAGATCCTGCTATCTCAATTCTCAACTGAATCCTAGGAAACTATTTTGGCAGAAACTTGATAGGTTTGTTTTTTTATCAAGCTATTAAAATTGGTACCTAAAAGATAATGGGTTCATACCTAAAACAGTGTTTAAACTTTCTACACAATGCACTATAAATTGCAAAACTCAACATTAAAAATGACCTCAACGTTGTCAACATTATCAACCGGAATAGTCCCCATGCTGTGTCCATTCTTCCGCCAGAAAGAGATCCTATTATCATCACCCGCACTTGCAACAACCAAATCTGTTCAGAAACATAAATCATCAAAATCAAACAGAATTCAATATAAATTGAGGAAATCGAAACCCTAGAAAGCAAAAGAAAATAGTGTAATGAACTGACTAGTGTGATTCCACTTGACTGAATTGACTTGAAAGCCAGGAGAAGGAGTGAAGTTAAGGATGCAAGGATCGCCGGAGTTGATGGAAGAGTCGAATAGCTTATCGGAAGCGTCGAAAAGTTTGACGGTGTCGCCGCCACTCGCAGCCAACAACGACATTGATGGATCCAAGAGATTTGTCGCCGCTGTAACCTAGAGTGTTAACGGTAAGAAAATGGATTTGGGAATGAAAAATGCGGAATTAGAAACCATGCATTCAAAACTGCATCACAGATTACCGAATTGAAATTTTCGAAAGATAATGTGATATTGCGATTGAGCGCCTTTATATGATTGGGTTAGTGGGTGTAGGGATGCTCTCAATTACCCGTTAACTTTTTTTTTTGAATTTCTTAGATTAATTAATTCGTGCATTAATCTTTAAGTTACAATATTATATCTAAATATATTAGTTTATATTTAGTTTTTGAGTTTAAATCTAATACACAAATGTATACAATTAATAAAAAAAATATTTTTATTATACCATATCAATATTATTTTTATTATCATGTCATATCAATATTTATTAAACAAAAACGTGTGAATATTTTATTTTTTCTTAATTTTTTATAAAAGATATATTAGATTCAAAAATTTATACGGTTTAAATTCACTTTTTGTTCTCATAGCTGATTTTTAATTTTTTTAGTCTATTATTTTAAAAATTAATTTTTTTATCCCTCAATTTCATCTCACTTTTAATATTTTGTTGATATTCCTTCAATTTTTCAGATGTGGTATTAATAATTAAAATAATAATTTTAAAAGATTATTTTTTTTGTTTAAGTAGTTTAGTGGCTGGAATGCATCCTTTAAAAATGAACAAGTGAGATGTCGTATATTCAAACTCACGAATTCATATATAATATCTTTGTACAACTACCAACTGAGTTAATTTATTATTTGTTTATGTAGAATTGATCGTACCTATGATCAAAACTTGAAAGTGGGTCGAAGGATGACGTCTGGTTTGCTGGAAAGTTGAGGAGAAATGGAGTTGTACCTGCAAGGCACTCCAACGATCAAGTAAGAATGGGTGCAAAGAGATACAAGCAAGATATTATGGTTTTAGGTTTGAATATTGGATATCTGACTCTCACAAGTGTGAGGGTTTATATAATGGCCACAGCGCATAGCCATTGGTTCCTATTTTTAGGCCTAGATATTCGGGTCCGCAAAAATAGGTAATCGTTAAGACTTGGTCAAAATGGGCAGTCGTGCCAGTAACTAGTCGTAACGTCGAGCAAGGGTGAGATGACGGGCAGACGCATTGTGAGCGCTAGTTTGATTGTCTACTTGACGTGTAGCGAAAAGATCAGGGAGGAGGCTGCCATTACGGGCAGGAGCATCATTTTCAGAGTTGTTGGTATCACAGTCCCACGGGACAGTCGACCAGACTTGCCCGACCCATGGCCGTAGTTATTGGGCCAACGCTTGTTGGGCCATGCTATAGGTAGGAGCAGATTGAGTCAATTCTAGTCATTGGGTCAAACCAGAACAGGAGTCCCTTAAGTTGTTGCTCCTGGAAAGAGGAGTGATGACTTTAAGACATGTTCGCAAAACTGGGGTGCTCTGTGGTCAATTCCGTACGAGGAGCACAAGTGAGGCTCGGCGTGTTCGCCTTGCAGGGAGAGGAACAATTGAGCGGCTCTGGTAAGTTACTGTGTTTTCAGGGGCAAATTCGTACGAGGAATCTGAATGTTGCTCGATGTGTCCATCTTGCGGGGAGAGGAATGACCAATTGGAATTTGGGGAGTTTGTGTGGCATGCTAGCATCGAGCCATGTGCTGTCGTAAAGGCGTAATGATGGCTAGCCTAGGAACTAGAATGTAACGATGGCGACCCTTAGATCCCTTAGGCGCGTGCATGCTCACGTGCTAGTAGGCAGTCTATAAAAGGGAGAGAGGTAGCTTCATTCATATTTTTTACTTGCTCTCGCTTTGCTCGACTGGCTTGTTTCTGCTCAACGTTGCTCCCCAACGACGTTGCTTAAGTTAATTTTTTTCATACTTCTACAGGAGCAATCATTGAGAGACCATCTCAATTAAGGCTCGGTGGCCTTGCACAACATGCCTTTGTGCAAAGAGAAAAGAGTCAGGCAACCTAGCCTCCTTCTGCCTTTAGATAGGTCGTGCCGGATGCACCTACTACAACTTCAGCCTCAGGTGTTCCTGCTTCTACTCCTATTACGCCGTTCTCTCACAGTAGGCGGGATTCTCCATTTCATCTGTCGTCGCCCCCATCCTCTCGCAGACTCACTTCTCCATCGAGTGTATTTAAGGCGAGAGAGACGTCTAGTTCTCAGGCGACATTAGGCCCAGCAACAGCCTCCATCACAGCCTCAGTCTCAGAAGACACTTGAGGCAGCTCCTTAGTCATCTCAGGCCCCTGAGCCAGCTCATTAGGTGGCACCTAAGCTTGCACCTGCACAAGCTGCACCTACGGTGCCTCAGGCTTTTAGAGGAGGGTCATCTGATTTATCCGTTTTGCCTCTTTACCCTGACCATGTTTCTAGACATGTTTGGGAAAAATAGGTATGAATGTTGATCTTTATTAAATATTTATTATGAGTTTTATTATGTTATAGACTGGCCCAACGGATAGAGTGGGCCCGGTCTAGGTTCCACCTTCAACACGACCCATACGACCATGGCCCGAAGTCCCCTTCCCTTGATCGAGCACCACCAGTCGACGGCTCTTCTAGACTAGCGAGACCAACAATGTCTGTAACACCCCATTTCTACCCAACGAATTATATAAAATCAGAGTTACAAAAATTCCAACAAACAAATGGAATGCTACACTTTCAACTTAGAAACAACGATATTCAATCACCTATAGTTCAAATACATAACACATAAAATTCAGATGAACCGATAACAACCTGTTTAGTCTTTAAAAATAAAACAACTTCCGTTGCTACGCAGCGGATTCATAAATTCAACTGAAAACACCATAACATCTTGTCCAACTCAAAACGGCTTTAAGACAACAAGTCTTTAATGAAAACAACTTAAAATTTCAGCAACATGATGGAAACCAACAATAAAGAAAACATACGTTCATCCTTCCGAGTGGTACGTATCAGAGCGACAACACTAACTCGAACTAACGAAGGTAACAGCTATCCTTCTTGATTACCTGCACATTACCAACCGAGGACAGCATTCAAACAGAAGAGGTGAGATATCGAACTGAAGGAAAATTACGATCCAAAACGCAACAGAAAATTAAAATTTTCCTTTAGTGATCCTTACAAATGGGTATGGTCAGTGATAGAAATCATTACCTCTTGTGATGATTCAGACCTTTGATATTGTGATCACGAACATTGATGAATAGCAACGTCTCTACTTAGTCCACACGAACATATCACTTTCAGACACAGTGGTAGCTGCTTACGAACGGAAACTTTGAGTGAAAGAATGAGATAAAATTACCGCTAGAAATCAAGACCAAATTTTCATAAAATCAAATGCTTCAGCATAAGGGTTTTATTTATAGAACCACTTATATGGGCTGCAAGCTAAAAGCCCAATTAATGATGCAATCTAAAAGCCCAATTAAGCATACGAGTATCATATCTTATGATATACCGCACATCACTTAAGCGCGTGGTACCTTACCATATTCTATATTTCACTTAAGTGCACCGTATCTTACGATGTTCCTTATTTACTCTATCTCTCATCAACCCGTCCTTATGTGTGTGACCCTGTAGGTTTTCGTGACGTTGACAATTATATTAAATTACACATTTAACATAATAAATAGTGAGCGGTATCTAGCAACGCATCACTGCTATCTAAGTCACAAAAATATCATGTGATCTAACAAAACCTTTTTGTGATAATATTTGTGTATATAATTACCCTTTTGCCCTTATGTCTATATTGAACACAAGGCATAAATCGTGTCACCCTTGTCCAATTCAATATTGGGCCTTTAGATATTTATCCTGTTATGTAGGATGGACAAATTCCATCTAGGTCACTCATGTCCCTCAGCATGCTTTGTGAAGTATCCGTCAACTGTCTTTATGGTCATCCAGTTACGAATAACGTTTGATCAGCAATAAAGTACTTAAATCCACATCTAAGGTCCATAGTGGTTTCAGGTCCAAGGGTGGTATACACCATTATCACCATGAGAATAACTTATGACACCTTGCATAATATTCTATGTAGTATTCTCACAGCGGGTCAATCCAGTATAAATATTACTCTTGATATTTATACCTATGTCAAGACTTGATAACTCCTTATCCATGATCCATGAGGTGTGACCATCAGTCTATCTTCATAATAATCTCAATGCTTTAATATTATCCCACTTTGCAATAAAACTCGACTATGATATTTTAATAATAGTATTCTTATGTTTAATGGGATCTTATGATTAAGTCACGCTTAATATTTCATTAAACAAACGAACTATTCAAGAGACTCTATAATTTTGGAAAAGCAAACATAATAAAGAAATACATTTTATTATTAATAAATAATTCGATACAAGTACCCAAAGTATTGGCCTCTAGGGCTTACACCAACACGAACCATATAATTAAGTGTATGATAAACAATTTATTACATCGAATTATATAAAATCACCACTTCACAACTTGCAACCAACATTAATCATCACAAGTTTACAATACAACATGTTAAATATGCAACACATAATGCGACTCGTTACAATGCACATGCATGTGGTACCAATGAAGCAAAACTCCAAACTTAGAAATCTACCAATTAATAGAGGCATCAACAAGGCATAAGCCTTCAATTTAATTTGTCAATTTAGACCAACTTACTGAGCATCAGTTCCAACTTGATATGTTATGTATGCGACCCAACATGAACGTCAGGATAGTAACAACAAAATTCTATAGCAACGCAATAACAAACCAATATTGGTCATAATCCCACAACTTAATATTGTGTCCATAAATAAAGATAATTCAACAAGATACAACAGCATCTTCAAATTCACATTGTTCAACAAGGAACACGATACCACGAATCAACCAAAATTTACTACAACTAAACCGCGTAACTATTTGGGTCATTTCGACTATTTCCGATTCATTAATTATCTAAATATTTATTACTAATTAC